GGTGGCTGTTTGGTGCGAAGCAGATATCGTAAGGGTTCAAAAGATCTTCAGTAATTGTTTGATGACTTGAATCATGAACATCTCTTGAACTGCAGGTCAATTCAATTCGTCCTTCACTTCTCTTGACAACAGCCAATCTTCCATGCTCAGAAATTGCCAGTCCTATCTCGCTCGTCATTAGTGTTTCCGCCTTACTGTGAAGGCAGAGAGATGCGGCAAAGAAATCATGATAACAGATATGCGTCTTGAAAAAAAGAACAACTTAATAACTGGATTTCAAGCTTTCCAACTTACGGGTTATAAAACTTTTCTACAAACTTCTCACTTGGCTTGTATAACTACCGAGTCCGTTTCTCGGAAGACCGAGTTTTTCTGAGAAAAGTGATGTAATTCCGACGGAAATGGACATTCGCGTCACGGTACTTATTCAAATATGTATCTTGCCCTGCGGTCATCAGTGAACACATAATCAACATGCCGAGACTGAAAGCAAATAATGGGACTCCTTATACTGCAGCGATCCCGTCATAATCAAGCTTCGTGTATGATCGTCAAGACAACGAAGTGAGATGAAATTTTCATTGGAGATACTCGTTATTCTTTACCTATGGTGCTCTTTTAATTTTTTTTGCCAACGCTGAGTAATCATAAGGGTGTAAGGAAAACATCGCGAAGATGCGGGTTATTGCAGACGTGTCTGTGCACTCAGTTTCTTTGAAAGCTACACCTCTCTTTTAAGGTAAAGGTGTGCCAACAAAGTATCCTATGACGGGGAAAAGATCACCTTGTTGGTCTTGAAGGTCTTGAAGGCAAGACCTTCGAGGTAAACCACCTGCAGTCATCAAACTGTGTGACGTCAGCTCGTTTCTCGGAAAAGAACCGGGTTTTCCCGAGAACTCGTTGGAAATCCCTTAAGATCTAAAACAGTTCGAAAATGGTGTTTAGGATGTTTGTGGCAAAATGATGATTACGATGGATCTATGGAAATGTGATGTAAATTAGATCTGTATATCTATCTGTTTATAAATTATTTCCAAAACAGCCTAATAAAGTCAATAGAAGTGTGATTTGACTAAAGCATCATGACCCGATAGGTTCAAGAGGGGCAGTTTCTGAAGCAGCTGTTTCCTGGAAAATTATCTCGCCACCGTAACATGGTCTCACATAGCTGTCGCATTTGTATGCTCAGAACATAATGGTAGAAGGGAAGATTAAGACTGAACGTTGGTATTCACGAATTTTTGTAAAACTTTACGTTCGGGAGAAAGGGCTGGAAGATAGGGTAGAGGCATCTACTATGTATATAATAATAACAATAATAATAAGCTTTATTTCAACTGCTAAAACTAATCAGCAATCTAATAGATTGGCTGGTATAAACTAGTGATCAGCATGATAAAAAATAGTATCAATCAAAATGAAGGGAGAAACCCTATAAAGAACTAAAGTCTGAATTAAAATAACAAAAAATATTTAGAAAAGCTAATACTTATTTTAAATTACATAAATGATTAGATTTATCATAGTACCGAAGCGCAAAAAAAGATGGATAAACGATGATTTGGAAGACGATAACTGCGAGTTTATTCTTGTTCGTCTCAAAGACGGAATGAACATTAGGAGTAAAATTTGTTTATCTTAATCACAAGCCCAAAACAAAAAATACTCGATCTGATTTTTTGCAAAATTTTGAAGATCTACTTTGATGTCCTTCCTGACAAAATTACCACACGGATGGAGCAGCGAAAACTAGTCTTCTGCCTTGTTACTAACTTCCTAGTTCTATTTGATAAGTAAGTGAATGGAGGGGGAGGGTTATGACCAGCAAAAGTGGCCAGAATGTAAAGTTAAATCGCCAACTCTTGTAAGTGAAAGCGAAGAAGTTAAGGTAAGGAGAATATAAAACACCATCTAATGAGGAAAAAATACCCAAAAATGGCTAGCTAGTCACCCTTAGTCTGAATCTTTGCATTTCATGAAAAATTACAGATAATCTTTAGCAATTATTCACCGAAACAAAAGTAAATATTCGCTTCTTTAACCGAAAATGATGTAAATAAGTGTTTTTAGTATCTACCATGTTAGCAGAGGCCAAAAGACTATTTTATTCCGGTAAATATACTACTGAAAAATGGTCGGAAATTAAACTCTTGAAGCACGAAATTGTCCGCTCTTCAGCTTCTCAAAAGTAAAATACTACTCAGTTTCTTTCCGAACTAGCCAATCAGCGTGCACAAAAAGCACTATTGACATAGTAGTATTTAACAATTATTCGCCTCAGGTTGGGTGAATATCGTCGAATAATCCCCGAGGCGAAGTCGAGGGGATTATTCGACAATATTGACCGAACCTGAGGCGAATAATTGTTTTAGTATAATTTCAGAGCTGAACAACAGAGAAATTTCTAAAATCATAACATTTTAGTAACATTTATTAACATTTTAGTTTAACATTTTATATAAACCGCGCGGAGCGGTTTATATAGCGTCATATAAGGAACGGCTCGACCAATCAGACTGCTGGAAACTCTTTGCTCAGCTCTGAAATTATACTAAATACCAATAGTATTGATGTGAGTTGAAATAAATTGGGCACTGAATGTCAAATTGATCATTTGTACATTCTATTGATTACTTGATTTACCTCGATTTAGTAGTAAAATTGAATAGGTGCTCTATTTATTTCTGAAAGTACAAGGTTGATGTATTGGTCCAATTTCTGACGATCGCTGTCTTGATATGCCGGCAAATTAACTTTCGCTGCCTCAGCTAGTAATTTCCAGGTGTCTTTTCTCATTGCCATCAGCTCGATACCATAGAATAACATCATTTTCACTCCTAATCGAGCATTCTCTATGTCAGCAGCTAAAGATCTTTCCCCAGGGCTGTGAGACATGCCAATCTTGTACAACTGACACAAATTAATTACCAGTTTTATTCCATGAGGTAAGCAATAAACCTTGTAAAATTTGATCAGATCTTGAGCACAGTCTTTTACTTTGAGGTCCGTTTTCTTACCATGTCCTGTAGATCTACAGCAAGGCTGTTTGTTCATGAACAAGTTAATGTCTCCTCCATTCTGATCTTGAAGCATGTTGACCGCTTGTCTGAAATCATCATCCACCAACATAAAATATTCTGCATGGGTCGTACTTTCGTAAACTCCTTCGTAGCAGTTGCCATATCTGGCTTGGAATAAAAGTCGACCGTTCTTCTCCGTTATTCGGACGTAAATCACAACCGTTTCGGAAAATTTTCTCCTGTCCCCTCGTATTCCAACGTTGCATTTCGACTGTTCAAGACACGAAAATCCTGTGCGGTCCGTTTCGGTTACGTGGTAAAACATACCACAGAACTGAGCTTCGGTTATTGCCATAGGATTGAACCCACCAACCTTGTGACTGTTTTTGTGATCTTGCACTGAACTAACATTATCACAAACTAATCTTTTATTGAACTGCAGCAATCGCCAATCTAAGGGAGAACAAATAAGAAGGTAGCTGACCAGGCTTAGCTTACTCCAGTCCATGTTCATCAGAATTATATCCGTGCTACTCGATACGAATAGTTGCGATAAAGGTCCTGGACTAATGGCTACGTTTTGAGGGATTCGAAAAGTTGTCAACGCTCTCATGTTAACATGGGGTACATTGCTTCGATCTAGAACAATAAACCTTCCAAAGAAGTCATGGCCGATAATAATCTGATTTACTGGTGGTAAATTTCGCGTCAAATCAAAAATTTTGATCGTGTTATCGCCAACGTCTGAGACCACTAGGGCGTCATTTGGAGCAAAGCACAGATCGTAAGGCCTCGAGAGACCCGCAGAAATCTTTCTGCTTACCCAAGGAATACCACATGTGACATCTCTTCCGTATAGCTCGATACAACCGTTTTTTATGATTGCCACTTGTCCTTGTTTGGATATCGTCATTCTATCGCTTTCCAGGTTTGGAAACATTTGTCGTGCTGAGAGAACAGCCATTAATGCTGCAACGCAACGGAAGGGGTACACCGAGTATAAACAGCCACCAAAACACTGTGAGGAAACTTACTAATCGTAAACTTTTCTCTCGAAGAAATGGTTAATTAATCTTTCGGGTATTTTTCCTGTTTCTCCGAAATCGCCGTGACAGCCTTTCTCGGAAACTCAAGGGCGTTGACAATCCACGAATGATGCGTGACCGTCAGCATCCCTTTATGAAAATATTGTGAAACCACAATATCATCATCAACCAATGGTTGTTCCGAGCTTCATGGACGAAAAAAAAAAACATTTTCGGCTCCTAAGCATGGAAAGGGAGGGGAGGGATAGGGTAGGAAAACTGGTCAGCGGAGCCTCTATTGAAAATTAAGTGATAAAACGATAAAATTAAACTGCGTATCTTTACACAGCACTAAATAAGTACCGTCGATTTTGCAAGTTTCGTGATGCAGGCAATTTCGTCATTGTCTGAGGGGATACAATAACAAACTGATCAAAGGAAAAATTAGCCGTTAGGCGGAAAAATTGGCAATTGAATTTTAATTGTTTGTAGTCAAAAAGCTAATTGTTAAAAATTTTTCCTTACTACGATACGTCGTTTGAAATTGTCCAAAGGTAAAAGGTTACAATTTTATCCCCGGCCGATACCGAAAATAAATACGTTTGGCTCAAGTCCCGCAGAGACTACAAATAAACACCGATGAAGACCACTCGTTCTCGTCTCGAGAGCCTCTCTTTTTCTGTGGGTGAAAGAAAATGAGAGATCTGGGACCGAAAATGGAAGACGAGGTGAATCTCTAATGACTCTTAAAAATCTTAATCTTGTTACAATTAAATTTCCTAAAGATCTGCACATTGTTAACCAGTGTACGAAACATTTTATTCGTCATTACATCTTGTAATTTCTGTTTCAAAACTTTAAATTAGGTGGTGGAGGCAGTATAGTTTCAAATATCTTCTTCGTTGACCAAGAAAAGACTTAAGGTTACCGTGCATGCACCTTTAGGGGTGTCTCGCGTGCAAGCGGTGTAGCGCGTCCGGTTTAAACTATAGATATCTAGACCCCTATATCAGATTAAAGCTTATAGGACTGGCTATCAGTCTATACAAAAAATTTTGAAAAAAGATGAATTGTCGAATTTTTCACGACTTTTAAATGCGAGCGCCCGAATCACCTTTAAAGAGCTACAGGTCAAAGGGAATTTGTTCGATTGCTCTCAAATTTTGACAGTAGCTAGTTTTACATATAAACCGGCAACAAAAACGTGTCTCCGAATTTTTTATTTCTAAATACTTTTTTTTCAAGAGCGAGTTTTGTACGGTCACTCCACATTTTTTAATCCTATTTCAAAAATGTTCTGTAACTTTTCACTGAAATTGAATATGGCAAATCGCAGACCGTTTTTTTAGGACTTTTAGCGCTTTGGCCCCGGAACGAAGGAACACATTTAATTTCAGTGTAAGTAAATAAGCGAAAAACAAAATTCGCTTTGACATGTATCGTTCAAAAGGTGATTCGGACGCTCGCATTTAGAAGTCGTGAAAAATTCGACAATTAATTTTTTTTCAAAATGTTTGGTATAGTCTGATAGCCAGTCCTAGAAGCTTTAATTTGATATAGGGGTTTACAACCGGACGCGCTACATCGCTTGCACGCGAGACACCCCTGAAGGTGCACGGTAACCTTAAACTCACCAAGAATTACAAGACACTGAAATTAATTTCGTTGAAAATTAAGACAGATACTACGAATATGGTAATTATTGGAATTCATCGTCCATTTTCGTCAGAGCCCTTCCTCAGACGAAGGGCTAACTCTCGAAACGTTCGCTTTTTAACTCTTTACGGTGGCCAATTTACAGTTTCAACTTAATTGAAAGGGGTCAAATTATCATATATTGCTTTAGTTGATATCTCGTCTATGTAGGAGGCTGACAACAACGCTTTCTCCATTAAAAGTACTCATTCAAACACGCCTTCAACTTTCTTACACCTCTCTAAAAATCCTGGCATTGCAGTGTAGCGTTTGGTATGAACTCCACTGGGGTGCCATACCGATACATGATTATAACAAAACGATCTTCGCAGTGATGAACATATGTTTCATATGTTTGTTGTTGTTTGACTACTTGAGTAGTAGTGAATAAAACGTCTGAAAAATATTCAGGTCTGTACGGATTTGAACCCATGACCACTGTGATACCGGTGCACTGCATACAACCCAAACTTCTCCACACAAGTAGGTTTTAAAGAAGAGATCACTTACCATTTTCCTATCACAATGTTTTTTTTTTTTTCACTTTCATGCATCAACTAACGCCCACGCAAAAACTGGAAATATAAAGAATTTTCGCCAGACTTCTGCTGCTATCAAGTGAAATCAGGACTAAATTAATTAACAACTGATACAACAAATTCTTCAGTATCCTCGTTCTTTCAGCCTCCCCCTTAAACCTTACCCCGTTTCATTTTTGATTTTTCCATCATAAACCTTTAACTTTTAATTTGTAATATAGGTGGAATTCCAATTGGTGGTCTGAGCCGCCGTTCCGATGACCTAGAAACCGGCGGTAAAGAACTAACTATTACAACTGTTACAAACCGTTTTTTAAAGGGTTCAATTAAAGTACTGTGATGTTGCCAGTCTCTTGAGAAAAAGTCCATCACATTTTAGAGTTGAGGGTCACCAGCATGTGCTTTAGCTTGCGATACTGATAAATGTCAACTCTAAAAAAATGATGTATTATTCTCTTGAGACTAGTCGCAGCACAGTACTTTTGATTGGACTGTGAAAAAGAGTCGTATGTAACAGTCATGAGCTTTCTAATTTTTGGAAAAGAATGTTTACACGATCTTTCAGAGAGGAAATGCGGAATGACTTCAACTAAGAACCATCCAAACTATGGGATAAATTGTCGCCCACAAAGTTTTTTGGTTTCAATAGCTTTTTCAACTGAGAAAATGCAACTTTGAATTCTACTAAAGGGGAAAAAATCCAAACGAAAAATATTTTTACGACTGTTTTTTTGATGCAATTGAAATGTTTGTCGGCGAGAAGTTTGGAGACGACACTCAGTTGGGCCATGGTCTTTTCTAATGATAATTTTGAATATATGAACTTCATATATTCATTGTATCTCATTTATCACTTTCACGGGTTTATTACGAATCAACTTAACGGCCTGCTCCCAGTTGGCTTGTTAGCTCAATTGGTAGAGCGCTGCACTAGTATCGCAGAGGTCAGTGGTTCGAGTCCCGTACAGGCCTGATTTTTTTCAGGTCTGATTTTCGCTATTGCATAAATAGCGCTATCTACTGCGAGGATCGTGCATCATACGTATCTAATACCGCAGTTCAAAATATATGAACTTCATATATTCATTGTATCT